GCAGCATGCCAACAGGAGGAAAAGAGCACGAGGCCGTGGATGAATTCCATAATTTGAAACTGGAAAAAAATAAAAGGCATGGGCCATGCAGCAAGCACAGGAACAACCAATAAAAGATAAGAAACGAGGACAGAATGAGGAGAAGAAGAGGGGGAGGAGGAAGAAAAGGAAAAGAGGCGCAAAACGAAATGAAATAGGCTGACCGAGGAGGAGAGGAAGAGGCGAGGTGCACCTCGTTCGACGAAACCTGCTGCTCCACGGTTTCAAACAGCCAGACCAGGACAATTTTCAGGCCGTAGATTAGAATGGAAAACAATAGGACTGAGCCGAGGGAGCACGTGCTGCAGCTGCCCACTGCGACAACGACCTGTTGCTCCATGGTGATGAACAGCGAGGTGCAAGGCACACAGTCGGAGGAACAGCCGAAGGCACGATCGGTTTCCTGCCAGGGTAGCCACTTCGCCCCAATCTGGGATCGGCAACCAAGAGCAGCCAAACTGCAAAAGAAAAGCAGGGCCCCTACTTTCTTTTCCTTTCCCCTGCTGCTGCAGGTTCCCACGCCGAAATCAGCCCTGACCCCATACTTCGCCAAAATCAGCCCTCACCCCATACTTCTGGCATTCCAAAGCCTACTAAGCACGGCCCCTACAAAAGAAAAGGGATCCACCTACTGCACTACCATCCAATAGCATGCATGCAAATCATGAACAATGTGTCAGAGATACTCACCATCCCATATTTCTGGCATTCCGAAGCCAGCTTTTTCAGAAACTGGGTCACCATGTCATCTGGGAGGCTCTCCAGACACAAACATCCCCATAATGTAACAGTAGCTGGTTCGCAGAGGGTCTTGACAAACAGACGGAAACAAACACAGAAAGCAATATCACTCAGTTCAGCAACACCCCATATCAACATTTCAACTTGTTGGTACAGGTACTCACCTCAACAGTACAAAACAACTTCAAACCATTAGCAAAAGCCCAATCAGCATCCAGAGATAAAAACAACAGTACAAAACAACTTCAAACCATTATAAAAGCAATGATAATCCGTAAATGAATCTTCACTGTCTGTACAGGTTCACATCTCCACAACCCGAAAAAAATTCCCATCAGCATCAATTAAATTTGCTGGCTTAGAACAAGGAATCGTATAGTAGAGTCACACCATACAGCAATGAGAACTCTTCGGATGCATAGCAAAACCCTCTCTCTCTCTCTCTCTCTCTCTATCTCTCTCTCTCTCTCTCTCTCACACACACACACACACACACACACTTGACAGTCTCCTAGGATTGCAGGGTTTGTGCGAGTAAAATCGACCCAGGGGCACACATGCACACACACAAACACACACACACGCACACACACACGAACACACACATTAGATAGTCTGCTGGGATTGCAGGGTTTATGCGAGTAAGATCAACAATTTTGCAGGGGCTTCGCTAACTCTCAGCAACATGGTGAGTCCTTATCCATTCGTCAAATGCATCCTCGACAAACTGTTGGGGCTCAATCTCCTGGTAAGTGTTACATGCTGCGCCTGCAACAGACTGCGCGGGCCATTTCCACGCCGTGACTTTTTCAGGCCAAAAGCCAGAAAACAAGAGCCCGCAGGCCCTGTGTCGTTTCAGCCTAAAAGCCTGAAAACAAGGACCTACAGGCCCTGTGCCTGAAAGCCTGGAAACAAGGACCTACAGGCCCTGTGTCGTTTCAGGCTAAATCAGGGCCTTTCCGGCCCTGAGTGTTTTCATCCTGAAACTGAGGGCCATTTTCGGGCCCTGAAACTCGGGCAACAAACCAGGGTTTTAGCACAGGCTATTTCGGGCCTGTCTTCAAGACAACCCCTGGTTGAGCTTCAACGCCAGGGTCTGGCACGTTTCGACATTGGCAAGAGCAACTTCCTGGACAGGCCAGCACTATATAGGACTGGCCCGCCCTGCAGGCAGGGAGGAAGTTCCTAGGTACTTCCCAGGCACTTCACGTGCAGTTCAGGAGGCAGGAGGTAGTCTTCAGGATTCAGCAGCTGCGCTCTGGAGGAGCGCTGCAGTAGTAGTAGTAGCGCTAGGAGTAGTCTTCAGCGCTGGACGATGGTAGTGTTAGCAGTAGTCTCCAGCGCTGGGCGCCATAGGAGCTAGAGCACTACTAGAGAGAGAGATTGGGCGGAGGCCAGGGAGACTTACCTGCACTGCCGTTGCTCCAGCTTCGTCTTTGAGGTGCCTGCAGCACTGCGCCAATTTCACAGGTTAGTACCTGGCATATGAGAGAGAGTTCTTCTTCCTCTTCTCAGGCCACCATCTCCATCTCACTCTCTCGCTACGTGACTTCACTGCATCAGCAGACTATGAGAGAGAGAGAGAGCTTGGGGACATTTGGATCCAGACTCGACATTGGACTTCAGACATTTTGACGAGGGATTATCTGGGACTTGTAACAAAGACTCAGTGTTGACAACTTTCCCATCTCCCGCCTCCTCTTCTACGTCTGTTTCCCTCCTCTTCGTCTATGCATGATCTGGACCTGGCGCCTTCTTCCTGTGTATAGCGCCAGGCTCCCTTCACACTTTGTGATGAGAATGATGTTGGGTCTGCGTTGCAACATTGGTTGGGCTAGTCATTGGTATTCTAGCAGCCTGCTACGCTATCTTGCACTACGTGATAGAGGTCTGTTTTGGTCAAGTAAAGACTTGTATCTTAGTCTTCCCTGCGCTATAAAGCACTTCCCTGCGCTATAAAGCACCATGTTTGTATATATCAGAATGTACATTGCTTGTTGGGATTCTACTTGCACTGCATTGTCCATTCAGTCCTTTTCATCACATTGCGGATCCTCGGGTTTTATATGTACACAAGGCCACCTGTTGCGGCTTCGCCCGCAAAACAATGAAGGAGAAGGGTGCAAATGAGGGTGGGTGGGGGCTTGTTGGTCCGGGTGTGGGTTTGGGTGGGGCCGGGGTGTTTTTTCGGCTCACCTGTGCACTGTTGTTGACACTGCTGATGGAATGCTGCTGCTGCTTTGAACGCCTTGAATATATGCTTTTTTTTTCTCTTTTTGATTTTTTTTTTGCTTTTTTCTCCTGTCAGAGACTTGATCACAGTTTGCATTCTTTTCAGTTGCAGTTTGCTGGGTATGTGACTGTTCGGATTTGAACTCGTCCGTTGTGTGTGTCACACGTTGCATACCTGTCTCCCGCTCACCACAAATATTCTTTCTCAGATGTCGGGAGATACGCAATTCTGTGATCGTGTGGGGGGGAAAGGGGCAGGCCGTGTAATAAGATTGGGGTCTCTCTCTCTCTCTCTCTCTCTCTCTCTCTCTCTCTCTCTCACACACACACACACACACACACACACCACATGCTATTTCTTTTAAAGGTCTCGATGGATCACGGAATCACGGATCAGATATGAAACTGATCGGAGCAGATGCTACACTTGATCGTGGGGAGTGGGGTGGCACGTAGTTAGTTAGATTGGGCTCTCTCTCTCTCCCTCTCTCTCTCTCTTCCAACACAGGTCTCGATGGACCACGGATCAGATATAAACTGATCGGAGCAGATAGGTGGGGTGGGGAGTGGAGTGGCACGTAGTTAGTTAGATTGCTCTCTCTCTCTCTCTCTCTCTCTCTCTCTCTCTCTCTCTCTCTCTCTCTCTCTCTCTCTGTGTCACACCCAACACGCTATTTCTTTTGAAGGTCTCGATGGACCACGGATCAGATATGAAACTGATCGGAGCAGATACTAGACCTGAACGTGGGGAGTGGAGTGGCACGTAGTTAGTTAGATTGCTCTCTCTCTCTCTCTCTCTCTCTCTCTCTCTCTCTCTCTCTCTCTCTCTCTCTCTCTCTCTCTTGTTGCAACTAATCATAGCAGATACTACACTTGATCGTGGGGGGTGGGTGGGGTGGGAGTTGGGGTGGCACGTAGTTAGTTAGATTGCGCAATCTCTCTCTCTCCCACGTCTTGCGAGCGCGTTTAAACCATCTCGACGGACCCCTCTCTCTCTGTCTGTCTGTCTCTCTCTCTCTCTCTAGTTTGTGCACGCGCATGCTTTTTTCCTTTTCTTTTCTAATATAAAAAGGTCCTCATGGACCACGGATCAGATATGAAACTGAACGGAGCAGACACTACTCTTGATCTTGGGGGCAGGGGGTGGGTTGCGGGCAGTTGCTGTCGATCGGAGCAGATACTGCACTTGATTGTGTGGGGGGCCGGCATAGTTGGTTAGATTGGGGTCTCTCTGTCCCTCTCTCTTCTCTCTCGCGTGCGAGCACACACCCTTCTTTTTCTTTTTTTGGTAAACCGTCTCCAAGGACCACGGATCCCACACTACACTTGATCGTTTGAGAGGGACGGGGAGGGGGGCGCAGTTATGGGGCCTCTTTCTCTCTCTCTCTCTCTCTCGTCTCTCTCCCATGTCTTGGGTGTGCTTGTTTTCTCTTCTCCCCCATTTTTACCCGTCTCGACGAACCATGGATCTGATCAAAGCAGATACTGCACTTGATGGCGTGGGGGGGAAGGGGGGGGGGGGGAGGCGAATAGTTAGTTAGGTTGGGCTCTCTCGCTCTCTCGCGCGCGCGCCCCCGCACGTGCTTTTTAAAAAAAGGTCTTGAATCTCTCGATGGACCACGGATCAGATATGAAACTGATCGAAGCAGGAGGAGGCCCATTGTTAGTTACGTTGGGCTCTCTCTCACTCTCTCTCTCTCTCTCTCTCTCCCTCCCCCACGTCTTGCACAAATCATCTCGATGGACCTCTCTCCCCCTTTCGCTCGCTCACACACACGTGTTTTTTTTTCCCCCCCTAAAACAAATAGGCATTGATGGACCACGGATCGAATACCACGCTTGATGGTGGGGGGGAGGATCGGATATTAAACTGATTGAAGCATATACTACACTTGATCGCATGGGGGGGAAGAGGGGGGAGGCGCATAGTTAGGTTGGGTTCTCTCTCACTCTCTCTCTCTCTTGCGTGCCGCGCCTTTTTTTTACATAAATAATAACGGTCTCGATTCTCTCGATGGACCACGGATCAGATATGAAACTGAGCGGAGCAGGTACTGCGCTTGATCGTGTGGGGGGAAGATAGGATATGAAACTGATCGAAGCAGATGCTACACTTGATCGTGTGAGGGGGAAGGAGACCCATTGTTAGTCAGGAGTCAGGTTGGGTTCTCTCTCTCTCTCTCCCTCTCTCTCTCTCTCTGTCTCTCTATCTATCGCGCGCGCGCGCATGCGTGCTTTTTTTTTCTTTTATAAAATCTCGATGGATATGGAACTGAGCGAAGTAGATAATATGCTTGAAGTGAGGGGGAGGATCGGATATGAAACTGATCAAAGCAGATGGTATGCTTGATCGTGTGGGGGGGGTTGGGGGGGTGAGGCGCATAGTTAGTTAGGTTGGGTTCTCTCTCTCTCTCTCTCTCTCTCTCTCTCTCTCTCTCTCTCCACAGTATCTTGTGCGCATGCGTTTAAACCATCCCGATGGACCCTCGCTCTCTCGTGCGCGCGCATGGTTTTTTTTTTTTTTAAATAAAAAGGTCTCGGTGGACCACAGATCAGATATGAAACTGAACGGAGCAGATACTACGCTTGATCGTGTGGCGGGAAGGATCTGATATGAAACTGATCGAAGCATATACTACACGATCGTTTTTGGGGGGTGCAGGGGGTTGGGGGGGTGCGGGAGGCACATAGTTCGTTAGATTGGTCTCTCTCTCTCCTTCTCTCTCTCTCTCTCTCTCTCCCTCTCACACACACACACACACACACACTGGGTGTAGCAGGGGAGTGTGCGAGTCGTCATAACATTGTACGGGAGAGTAGAAAAGTTGTGTATGTCGTGCGTTGTAGATCTCTCTCTCTCTCTCTCTCGCACACACACACACACACACACACATGCTCGTAGTTCGAAGCAAACAAAGAAACGAAAGCAACAGACATCAATAACAAAGTGTAGTTAACTCACCGTCAGTCAGCATCCCACCTTCAGGATGCGGAGCCCAACCTCCGGCACATAAAAAAGCGTCGTGTGTTCAGTCTGGGTGTTTTTTGTGTACTCTCTCTCTCTCTCTCTCTCGCTGTGTGTGTGTGTGTCGCGCGCGCGAGCGCACGCGCTGACTGCGTGCGTGCGTGGGCATCACTAAGCGAGGCTGTTTCGTCGAACTTCCACCGACTCATCAGGAGGTTGAACTCCGACAGTCTGCCCGGATGTCGTGTGTGTGTGTGTGTGTATCCACATGCCAAGTCAAAGTCAAGCGTGGTAGTGTAGTGTAGAGTAGTTAAGTCGAAGTCGAGTGTAGTAGCATAGGATAGGAAAGTAGAAGTCTAGTACAGAGTAGAGTAGCATAGGGGTGGATCTTTCCCACGCCGTAGAATTTGCCCATGCCGCCACCAAAAAGGCACGCCCCCATCCAAAAACAGTGCACGCCGCCACAAAAAAATAGTTACATCACGGACAGCCTATGGGAACCCGTTCACCCGAACACAAAACCCCACCGGTAGGTACCGCGCCAAGAAACCACTGGTAGGTACCGCGGCCCTCTCCAACAGGCAAATAATCCCAGCCGTCGCGTCCATGGTACCGGGCCAACGGCCTGGATTGATGCGCGCTCTTAAGATCTTAAGATCGCGCTGATACGGCGCGTCGATCTGGTAGGACCCGACGGCCGGGATTTCAGATTTGTTACAAGGTTCGGTTGATCTGGGCCGTGGGCCGGTAGGACCAACAACGGCCCGGATTTCAGATTTGTCTCCTTAGCGATTTTAATAGTGCAGGGATCGCCCAACAGGGCATGTAACATAAGTCAGTGAACGTCCGACGACGCAGCCTGGCAGGGTCATGCCTTCTATTGTGGTCTCATGTATAGCAAACATAACAAGACACACAAATTGATGCAGAATACAAACAGATCGATCGAATCCACCACAGATGTCATCATTTTTTTCCATGGCCTTGACAAAGAGAGTGATCCACAGACAGCCATACAACTGAACTACCCACAAGTCCCAAAATATCACTTCAGTTGCTACCTGTCCCACAACACCCTCTATGATACCAAACCTATGCTCCCATCTGAATCACAAGCAACATTCCAGATCACACAAAACACAATTCCGGCCCCAACCCAGGCCCAGCCCAGGCCCAGCGCAGACCTGCCTACCCAAATTAAGAATGCACAGAAAGGTTTCATGGTAACTCCCTAGCCTTAAAGCAAGGTCTGTACAAACGGCATCTACAGGCACAAGCAGAGTCCGATGAATTGTGCATGCTCACCTGATTCATCAGGTTCCATGCACCTCTTTGTGGAATCATCTCTCTTGACCTTGACCTCTCACCGAAGAGCAACTGCACACACACACACACACACACACACGTACACACACACACATCAGCATGTGAGGCATAGTAAAAGAGGAGCTCAGGAGCTGTTGCCCCGAAGAAACCCAGCTAAACACAGTTCTAAACACTCTTATTTGGAAACATATTGCCTTCTAAAGAGATGAAATTCTTCAATTGTTGAGTTCGCTCAACTCGTACCTACTCGGCTGGATGGAGTGGGGTTGTCGTGGTGCGATTTTGAAAAAACACACATCAGCACCACAATATTCAGTTCCTCATTGTACGTTAGGGCATATCCTGAGTGGGTTTCAGCAAAATCAACGAGAGACAGACCAGATTCCACAGCACACAAAGCCAACTCACAACGACACAGATCCACATCACCCGTCAACATCATTGCCCAGCCATCAGATGATGGCATCAGATGTAATCGACCAGCCAAGCTTAACAGCCGTGACTACGAACTACCCAAACACTCTTATCCATTATCCACGGTCCAAACATCACACAGCAACAAGTGCAGGTTCAAATACGTCATTATTTGCAGGAATATGTTCCAGTCATCCTTTTCAAAACAGAGAAGACCAGCAGTAGTTTTCCCAACTACGACAGTAGGTGAAAATACTAAATTCCACTCCTTCGGCTGTCATGTTACGTTCGCTGTACTATGTTCCAGTCAATGCAGTCATCCTTTTCAAAACAGAAAAGACCAGCAGTACTCTTCCGGACTACAACAGTGAGTGAAAATACTAATTCCGCTGCTTCTTCAGCTGTCATATTACATTCCAGTGGTTCCTCCCAAAACAGACAGGACGAGCAGGGCTCCGCCCACTTCAAAAGAGTAAAAGATGATGAGAATCAACAGTCCCAGGAAAAGTGTGGCGGGGGGGTTGGGTGGGGAGCGGGGCAGGGCGGGGATGGCAGCTTGGATTATGCTCGAGACATCCAGTACATCATACACTTTCATAATTCGCTCTGACTCACAATCCTCAAACACAAATGTCAAACAGCAGCAAGCAGCAGATTTATCCACACCATACATAACTGCCATACCCCCACATGATAGCTGGGAGACATACTGGTTCTTCAAGAGCAGCATTAATACGAAAAAACTGACCTGAACAAGCATCTCTCTCTCTCTCTCTCTCTCTCTCTCTCTCTCTCTCTCACACACACACACACACACACACACACACACACACACATTGTATGAGTGTGTAACGTGTACATGTGTATCTGCATGTGTAGGGGGCATGTGTTTGGGAACATGTGGAAGCGCAACTCAGTAAACATCTCCAACGACTGTACAACAACACTCTTTCCTACCTATTGTCTGCCATTTTAGAGAGACACTAGTTACTCCCTATAGCCCATCATTTCCCAACATCGTGAGGACCGGTCTACTTCCCTAACCAGTTAAAAAAGCTACCATCGGTACCAACTACAAAATAGCAACAGAAAAGTGACAAACATTAGCCCACCTCAGTGAGCAAAGACAGACCACTCTGGGCAATTCTGCCAAATTGTCGGCATTTCATAAATCCACCCAGATAAAAACCTACCTACATAGGCTGTTCCCCTCTTCTGATCTGATCTCCCCCCTTCTTTGGATGTACAAACATGCTTACCGGTTAATGAACTGCCGCAGGACTCCCAGCCCATTACTGTAAACTTGTCTTTTCTTCTCTTCCTATGGATCACAGGTCAAATACTGAACTGACCAGAACAGATACCACACTTTATCTTGGCCAAAAGGCCAAGAACGGTACACTTGCCAGCAGCAGAACACACCCAGAAGAAAGGGGAAGACAGATTTACCTTCGGTGGTGGAAAGAATAATTGACACAGCTTTTGCGGTACTCCCAGCCCAGTACTTTTTTCATTTTTTTTCTTCTCTTCCCACGGATCACAGATCATACTGAACTGATCAGAACAGATACCACACGTTATCTTGGCCATAAGGCGAAGAACGGTACAGTAGCCAGCAGCAGAACACACCCAGAAGAAAGGGGAAGACAGATTTACCTTCGGTGGTGGAAGAATTCTCCCATTGACACTCTGCATACTCTTCCCAACACTTATTCCAAATTCCACACACATCTCACTCTGGTCATAGGCGTTTGCGCTGACAAACTGCACACGAGTGAAAACATACCACATTAACGTACACGATGCATATATTGTCACCGAAATGCATAGAAGAAATTACATACAGTGCAACAGAGGATTACCAACAGAGCCCACGAGCTTTTCTTACTGACAAACCTGTTGGAGCCAAAAAAATACTTGAAAGACAGCATGGATGACGGGAGCAAAACATTTTTTTTTCACCTGAGACCACAAGCCATTTCCCTCTGATACACCACGCTGTCCTGCCGGTACACTGTGCCTGCCAACAACCTGCCGAGACCTGACGGGAGCAAAATATTTTCTTTTCACGTGAGACCACAGGCCATTTCCCTCTGATACACCACGCTGTCCTAAAACCACCAGTACCTCGCTCACTTATTGCATCCAAGCCTGAAGCTGCCGCTACGCTGTGCCTGCCAAGAACCTGCCAAGAATGTGCCGGTAGGAAGATCTCTCTCTCTCTCTCTCTCTCTCTTATCTTCCCAGTCTGGTGCAGCCAGAACAAGGGTGCATCATTTCCGGCAGTCTCTCTCTCTCTCTCTCTCTCTCTCTCTCTCTCTCTCTCTCTCTCTCTCTCTCTCTCTCTCTCTCTGTATACAACGTATCTTGCCGGTCTGGTGCAGCCAGAACAAGGGTACGCCGTTTCCGAGAATCTCTCTCACACACACACGCAACCGCACATGCACATTCTCTCTCTGTCTCTCGCTCTCTCTCGCTCACACACACACACATGTAAACGCACGTGCACATTCCCTCTCTCTCTCTCTCTCTCTCACACACACACACACACACACACACACACACAGCCCTGCTTAAGAGCATGGGGTGTTCGGATGTTTACGGGCGTCAACGAGTTCTCTTTGGGGGAGTGTACGTTTTATGGGCCAGCATGGAAGGCCTTCCCAGTTCTTTCAGACCCTTAGCAGGGGGGAGTGTACATTCTTACTGGACGAGTCTTCTGTCTTTGGTAAGTTCTCTTATCTTCTTCCTCTTTGGCATTGACGCGAGTGTGTAGTTTGGGATGCATGTCAGGAATGAAATTATCGAGTGGGCGAGCACGTTTTTGACAGCGCCAGCCCGAACGTTCGGCACCCTTTCTCGACACGTTCGACCATGCGGCTGAACACGGACCCAAAAAAAAAAAAAAAAAAATCTGAAAAAAATCTGAAAAAAGAAACTAAATAACATTTGCCCCAACGTGACATCCAAATTCTTTACCAAATTTGAAATAAAAATCAAATACTAAAACTACATGATAATAATGAAAAATTGAAAATTAGAAAAATAAAACGAGAATGAAATTATCGAGTGGGCGAGCACGTATTCGACAGCGCCATATTTGGCAATTTTTGATTTTTTTTGGCTGTGACAAATGCCATGAAAATTTATATACGTGTATCTTACATAATAGAGAATCTACACAGAGTTGGAAAAATATTTTTTTCATGCCCCGAAATAAAGGAATGGCTTCAAAAAATAATATTTTTTTTCAGCACCATCGTTTTTGAAACTACCATCTTTGCCGATTTTTTATCTTTTTTTGGCTGCACAGAAATGGCTTCAAAATTAACAGGGAGATACCTTACATCACAAAGAACTCACAAAAAAAATTCAGGAAAAAATAATAATATTTAGGTCCCAAAATATTGTTTTCGTGGGGTCCGGACCCCTTCAGGTTCGAGCCCCGTACAGGGACCCGAACGCCCAAACGTTTGGGGGTCTGCTTAGGGGCCTCCGTACATTCGGCCTCGCAACCCTGGTTGACACCATTTTTTAATGAAAAAGAAAAGAAAAACATATTAAAACTTTAAAAGCCTTTTTTTCATTTTATCTTGTAGTATATGATGGGGAGCATGCCCCCATGTTTTTTTATTTTGGGGGCCTACAGACCCCCCCTAGTTTCCGTAGCGGGCAACACTACAATTTTTATTTTTTTTTGTATGTGAGACACGTAGGCTACTGAAAACATTTCCCCAAAACCATTTTTGAAAGACCCTTAGGAGCAGTCGTCAGAGGTACACAACAAAATATTATATCCAGACCCCCGCAAAACCCGCATGACAATAACTTAACCATGAAGATTAGGCCCTCGTTCAACCTTGCTACAGATAAACAATACTTTATACTGTTTTTGACAGACTTCAGAAGACTGTCATCATGAGATCTACACATCATGTGGTTTTAATAGTTTCACACCAAGGACCCATCGGAGCATTTACCTACAGTCCCTAGCAAATGATATCTCTCGCCAGAATTCCAGAACAAATATTTCAGTAGTGTTCCCGGCTACATCTCTTCCCCATCCAGCAAAAACGACTCAAGATTCCAAGTGCAGAAACTACGCTTTTCTAGTGTTACCTCGCAGATAGTTCCCTGTCTCCTGAATGGCTCAATCGACGTATGGGTAATCATCTCTCGGGTTTGGTTATCTGACAGCTTTCTGCGATACGGCTGTCCTGCAACGATCGTACAACACTGAGCCACCAACAAGTCAAACACCACCACAATAGTCAGAATTCAGAAACGGACAGCAAAGCAAAATGTCCATCATTTCCTTCCAAGAACATCCTCAGCAAACCCACAACACTAGATAGCACACAGAGCATGCCAAGGACTCTTCACAATCACAATCCTTACCATAGGCACAAACTCGAAAAGGTGACGAAAGTCCACTTCACTAACACCGTCCAGTATTAGAAAAACACAACCATCGACAACAACACGACCCTGCACACGCTTGAATAGGAAACCAGAACACACTCCCCCCTCCAAAGGAGTGCTCCACTCAAACGCGATCCGTTTCACAGCCACAAATGTAGGTATCCACACAGGCAACATGCTCCACTGCACTCATCATACACTCTTCTCCCTTCCCATATGACCATCACCAATGACAAACCCAATATCAATTTTTCAGGAAAAGACATCAGCCACAATCGGCAGCTAGAGACAACACTGGACTTGGACTCCATGGGGAGGAGTCTAAACATCAGTGGAAAGCAGGTCCTCTGCTCCCCAGAATAGATCAGAGTCACACGACCGTATCGCCCTGTACCCAGAACGCACAGAGAGCAAACAAATTCCGAGAAGATAACAAAAATACTTATCCACTGCCAATTCAAAACCACCATCATCGTTCTCACCTCCTCTCCTTACCTCATCCGGAAGGTACTAGCATTCTAGAGCCATCAGGGGGATCCCTCCAAAGGCTACATCCGGCCTCAGACCTAATCCCGCAGGGGCTTAAACCAGACTGGCTCCTCAGGTCACACCAGCACCAAGTGCAAACGCTGTGCCCGCAACCAGCCCGTTGGACCGGGCCAGATCCAACCGGGCCGGTTGGACCCCCTAGCCTCCATCCCGCCTCAGACCTAGACCTGCAGGCCTGCAGGTTTTTTTTTATTCTTTTCTTTCTTTTTAAACAGAACCTTATGGTTCTGGCTCCTTTTCCATCCTGGGGAGCATCAGTCCGGTTCCTATTCCCCCTGCAAGTCCAAGACAATACAAATGTTACTCACGCTCCTCCCCCTTATGGTGTGGAGGCCCAGAAAACGTCATTGACTACTTCCTTGAAGGAGGATGTACCGATCTTCACCCCCAATTAAGTTAGCCTATTCTAGGCTGTTTTTTCCTTAGAAGCTATGAGTGATAGCTACTTGACTTTGCCGGAACTATCCGGTCTTTTTTCTGACTGCTCCTCGCTGTCAATTGAGCCTATGGCGCGACTCTGTTTTACCCGTATGAAGGGTGTGACGGACCTCCTCGATGTAATTTCGGTTTCCTTCGGAACGAGGCTAAAACCCTAAGCCCTGAATTACTGGTAGCACGTTGACCGAGTTGGAGTACCATTTGGAAGTATCGTCTGACTGTAACCTTGAGAGTAGCTTCTGAAGTGAAAAACTCTAAACCCTAGAGATCTGGGAGGCAGATGACCCATCGACCGAGCTATTATCGGGAGCTTGGACCGTGTATCTTCATGGGGAGTGGTGTGATGGATAATCGGTGTTAGGATTTAGTGTGGTGTGAATAACATGGGTGTGTTGGGCTTCTGGTGTGGGCATGAGACCTGGAGGATGGGAGAGTATTTCACTTGATGAGGGCGCAATCGGGTGATGTTTAATGATGCACAGTGGTTGGGGGGTGTGTGGGGGGGGGTGTTGGTTGGGAGGAGTGCAGTGGTAGCTAGTTAGGTTGGGTTGATAGAAAAGTTCATAGGCCGGTATCTGTTCCATTTAGTGCGATGGGGGATAGATTGTTTGTTACCGTGGGTTGTGTTGGAGTGGTGGGATTTTGGGTATTTGATGTGGGCATAACTAAACAGTCTTGTAAGCGCAGTCTCTCTTTTAACTGTTCCTAGTCTCGCGTTGCCTAGAATCAGGGAGATGAATCTATCAATGATCTCTTGTTTCTTATCTGGTGCATTTTGTAGGGATTGGAGTTTCATGTATGTTCTGTTCCGGGGTATTACTAAAAGCCGCGTAGGTTGCTGTTCATCTCCTTTTCCAGTAGCCCAGAGGGTCGATTTTTTGACGAGTGAGAAGAAGAGACGCTCAACGAGTTCTGATCTACCTCTAGGAATAGGGTGCCAGGGTTGATCGCGATGGTTTCTTTTCGAGTGTTTGTTCCAGGTTAATTCTATATCGTGCCAGAGTTGCCTTGTCTTTGGGCAATCTATGAAGCAATGATTGAGTGATTCTTCGAGTTGGGTGTTGCACCACGATGCTTGCTCAGTGTCATTATCTTTCTTTCTTCTTTGCGATAGCCAGAGATTGACGGGTACTGCACGAAATGTTATGAGCCATAGCAGACTGCCTAGTTTGTGTGGTCTTGTGCCAAAGATATTGACCAAAGATATCATAATAATTATCAATCTATCCTCTATGATAGATTGATAATGATTTCTTCACCTTTCATACAAAAATCCATACATGATGGGTTGATGTTAACCGCTGTGATGGTATTTCCTACTGGGTTTGCAGCACTGCTGCAAATGTGGTTCCTCACTTGCCAAAAGGAATGCACCCAGCACACCAAAAAAAATAACAGTTCCATACATATCATGATATTATATAATTATAACCTCAATTTTCTGTATTGAGCTCATAAAACGAAGTGAAGGGAATGCACAAAAAATATGAAACACTCCATACCGATTATAATCTGAATTTTCCATATTCTCCGTAATACAATCATCAGTACGATTTATGAAGTCACACATCATACACAAAAACACAATATGTCCCGTACCAGATTATAAACTCAATTTTCTGTATTCAGCTCATGGAAAGAAGCGCAGGCAGTACACAAAAACATAAAACATTTTTTACCGATTATGAGCTGGATTTTCACTCCTTGTTGGAATGTACTGAACTATGCAATTTCATCTTATGCTCGTCATTGTCTTCAGTCCTGCATTATCACTCCTCTTGGCAGGGTGCACAAGTGTGTGGCCATGATCTTAGCCTGGGGCAGCAGGAAGTGTGTGCTCATCTTGGCCTATTCCACCCGCCTCCTCACACGCACATGTAGAATGCCAATCTATGCCTTACGCACTTGGGCCTCCCGTAGGCCTCCCGTACCAAGTCACTGCCATGGCTTAGCTCTGTAATGCATCACGAACGTACTTCATCAGGCCTGTTCAAACTAAAACCCTTCGCCCATCACAATCTCCTCGCACCGATAATGCAGTTCATGAAGGGATCACAGATCAGTGAACCCATACTCATGCCATTCACCCCAAATATCACAAAATGCTATGCAAATCGCTTGCTAGGTTCGAGCTCACCTCCATTGGCAAAAAGTTTTTCCTCGGCCCAACTTCCAAGCAGGGCAACCTCAGGAACTGCAAATCTTTGTTGTATGTTTGTTTGAAATAATGTTGGACAGTTATTTCCCTTGCACCCCGTTCGTCATTTAGAGTGAATCTGTGGCCATCCGAGCGAACAGAGCAAGAGCAACCAAAAAAAACAAGGAAAACCAATTAAGACAAAGCCCAGCAATTCGGCACCCTTGGCCCCCATGAACCAACATCAAAAGGGACATTTGAACCTTTCTCCTTCAAACCTGTGCTGAAGAGAGGGAGCTTTCACTCACTCCTTAAAGTTCGCTTGATAAGAAGCTTAGGGTTAACGACATCAAGAAATACCTTTTCACATCACATGCATATGGACACCACATTAACACCTAGAAAAGGAGAAAAAAGAGATCCCGATCCAGCTCTCTCTCTCTCTCTCTCTCTCTCTCTCAGCAATACCTTCTTTTCTGTAACACAACTCCCCCAGCACAACCTTCCTCCCCCAAATGGAACGTACGGTCATTATAGCTGTATTTAGACGGAAAGATACCCCAAGTACAGCTAGAAAGACCATACAGAAAGAAAAGCTAGGATGACACAATAAAAACCCGCCAGATAAGGGATCATGGTGGGGGTACACTTCGCAAGCCACGTGGATACAGAGATCACAAAACTCCAACGAGTACTTTCTTTAGAAAGTACTATGTTGGTGCAGTTTATTGTGGAACTACAAACAACGTAACACCACGGCCTATGGCACACTCATGCACTCACGGGACACAACCATATTCTTAATAAATCATCACACGAGGCATGGAGTTCATGGTAGTATCAAGTAGGGAAACAAACAAAAAAGAATAAAAGCAGGTAAGAAAAGCTTACCTCAGTTCTGCCGTTGGCTGTCTGGTGAGCCCGCCAATTCTGTACCGAGGCTTATTGGGACCACCCCTGTGGGTGACTTCAACTCGGACAGTTTTCAACAGCTTTTGCAACTGCATCACCAATGCACAATGAATAAGATCAAGCACACCCCTGGCCCTGAATACACAAAATACCTGGCCCTGGCAAAAAACGAGACGTACACCTACCTCTCAAAATCTGGACATATAACTGGTTTGGGAACAGCTTATCTAACGTCGTAACCACTCCACATCAAACAGTAATAAGAACACATTGCCCCGCAAGTCAAAAACACCTACATTGGGGGTGATCCGTGAATACCTGACCGTTTAATAAGCAAGAAACATGCTTCTAAACACAGACATATACAGTCTGGTCTTTTAAAAACGTGCGGCATGGACGCAGAATAGTCCCCCATGGATCATGCTGCCATATTAAAGATTCTACAATCAGAGAACATTCGGAATCCTAAATTACTAAACTTTCGTGAACAATCAGTCATAATATTGTCGATAGTTCCCTTAATGAAGGAATCTTACACATTGACTTCATCAGTCTTGCTCACATTCAATCTCCCACAAGTCTTCAGAAACAATTGGAGCTTCGGCAAAGCCCTGTTGCGCTAAGACTGACACTCACTCCCAATGGCGGGCAATGGACTCCACCCCGCAAGGGAAGGGAGAAGAGATCGCGTTCCATACACACCCCTTGAATAATAATTTCCATTTCAAACATTTAAACCATCAGTTTCATGAGTTGTCAGAGCTACTTTTCACAGCTCACAAACCAGAAACTGTGCCTTTTCGAAGAGCCCAGCCGCTTTTGCTACCAGCCAGGCCCGAATTAAAATGCTTTTGCTCTGCATACCAGCATTCAAACATGCTTTCTAACATTCCCTGAACTTCATTGTGCTACTGTTGGAAGCAAGCAGAGTTAACATTGTAAAAGGACGCACACAAATACCAACGTGTGCTCACCTTGATACGCATTGAATCACTTAGGCCCTCATAAATGGCTCTCTGTCCGAAGAACTGCTGGACAAACTGTACAACAGGCATGGCACAGTAAAACCCCGTCGCCGACATATCTGCCAAACAAGACACCAAATGTCACAACCGGCTCATCCATGGCTTCAGATCAGGACATTACACCAGCGTTCCAGGTGCAGTGCACGCTTCTATTCCAAACATAATCCATGAGTGGCGTCATACCAGCATAGTTCCCTCTCAGTTAATTCACACAACCTGGTTTAGGGTTCAGGGATCAGTGTCAAGGGTTTGGGGTTTATAGCTCAGGACTTAGGGTTTAGGGATTCAAATTCACTAATCAACTACTTTTTTCTGGGGTTTATAGCTCAGGACTTAGGGTTTAGGGATTCAAATTCACTAATCAACTACTTTTTCCTGGAAGAACACGTTTCCTATATATGATAGATATATACCGGGAGCATCGGAGAGACACCATCTCCTTATCATGTATCCTTTGACACCAACCTGCGACACCTCAACGATTCTACGATGAGCATAGCAACACAGTACTTGAACTTACGATCTGTTTATCGACAGAAGTTACACAAACACGCAAGTCATATTAAGCCGCCAGTACACGGCCCTAGCCTTCATAAGAAAAAAAAACTCGTCGCCTATTAAATTTTCGGAGGCCCAGCGCTATAGATAAATTCGACGGTGGGCGGCCTCCGAAAAGGGCCCACGGCCGCCGATAGCTGGACGTACTGGTGGTTAATTGTCATTCAGTCTCCAGGTCGGTCAGCGGAATTCTTCACCTGATACCAACAGTCACCAACCGGTACCCGCAGTAAACAGAGACTCTGGCAGAGAGCCATGTCGCAGATGCTCCGGTAGGGGTATGGATGACCCAAATTGGTGCAAGGGCTGGCGTTATGTCCATGCTCGGAAAGCACGCTGCACCCATCTGCATTAGGCTCCAAATTTGTGCTCTCGGCATGAACATTGTAGCAGTGGGGCCCCAAACTGGAGCTCAGATCTTAGTGGCCAAGCAGGAACTGCTCCGAGCTATAGAAGATAACAAAAGAAGCGCTCTGCACTTCGAGCTGACTCACACCTCCACACATGGAAGGTGGTTTGACCGTATGCATTACTCCCAACAGCGAAGGAATGGCAGAAAGAGCCACAGAAGATAACCCCCTGATATCCAGGGAATGCCGGGACATCTCCACTTGCATTCGCATCACGTTGGGCGTGAAATAGTACACAATACAAAAACGTCCCACATACATAATAATGAAATCCGGCTGGGAATCCACAATCAGAAAGTTCACATGTACGAGGGGAGACCCTATCCGCTGCAAGGAGGGGGAACTCAGCCTAACTCACCGAAACGCCCATACCATGAGCCCAGAAGGCTCGAAATCCAGGCAATCTTAGCCAGGAGCACCCGAAGTCCGGACTAGGCTATCTCATACAGGCCAGGGCAGAGGGCAGCATTCAGTGTGGCTGTGCTGGTGTAGCTGTTTTCGGGTAACTCAGCTAACATGCCTGGAATAGCACTGACATCCAAAAGCGAGTGGCGCTCAAGAACGAATAACGAGTAACCCAGCAGAAGAGCAAACGAGAGTGAATGAGAGCGGACCAGAACGTGCGAGCGAACAAAACTCAACAAACACGGACAGTGGACGACATTGAAAAGAGCTGATAGAGAGCGCAAAAATGCAGAAGAGATTACTACCGCATAGATTGCAATAAAAATGGAAAGGCGAGAACGAAAACAAAGAGAGCGAGTAGATTGCAATAAAAATGGAAAGGCGAGAAAGAAAACAAAGAGAGCGGAAGAGAAGGGGTGTGAAAGATTAAAGAAGAGAGAAAGGGAGAGACTAGGTGACAGATGGAAGGTAACACAAAGGAAACGGAAAACAGACTGAAAAGAGAGAACGAAAAAGAGACTAACACTGGAAGATGGAAGACATGAAAAAGGAAGGGAAAGTGAGATGGAAAGTATCAGAACGGAAACGGAAAGCGCAAGATGCACAGAGAAAGAGAGAACACAAAAGAGACTGACTGATAGCAGCCCATGTTGAGGTCCTCTCTAAACCAGACACTCTACGTCAACACAAGACCTACCTCAACAACAGATAGTCAACATACAGTCTATTTTGATTTATATAAATAGCAAAGAGCTCGTTCTTGCTCTCCAAGGCCCAATCAAAATCACAGGCCATGAGATGAAGCCACAAAAAAACGCCAGGAAAAAGGGCACTTACCGACAATCAGGGACAATGTTCCTCGTCCGGGTCGAGCTGGATCCAAGTCAGCCGGTCTGATGCTCTGGTAAAACCCCTTGTAGACCATGACTCCACCACCGAGGGGTTGACTACCCGCCTCCTTGAAATATGATCTGCCCACCGGTATGTTCCTGCATCCCACATGCAATAATTGAAGAGGCCTTCAGAATCTCAATTCCCATGAAGTTTGCCGGCACCAAATCAAATATGCAAAGGCAAAATGGCCCAAATGTGACAATCAAATAACAATGCTGCGCTCTTTTGAGTCCGGTAATTGGCATGTGAACAGTCCCCAACTCCTTCAACGAGTATCCCACAAAAGACACCTTGAATGGTCAGCAGGCGGAGTTTCAACAACTCATCAGGAGTTTCAACGACTCATCAGGAGGCTGAACAGACTTCTATATATTGTCACATGATATCAAAGCGCCGAAGCGAAAAACGAAAGAAAACAAGGAAAACAAGAAAAACTTCATTAATTTTCAGTCTTCTTCCTTACAACTCCCCCTGTTCAGAACCTCTTGCGTACAAGGCCACCCACGTGGATGTAGGTTGAGCGGTGGCTGCCCCCGTTCCCGTGTGTGTCATATCGAACCACTTGCACACAGCCAAAAGGCAAAGAGGCAAAGAAGAGAGGAAGGGAACAGCCAAATAAAACTGAACAGGGGGCAACAAAACAGATCCCAGATGACAAGTCCCACATGCAAGCACCGCCCCTGCCCACAGGCCAAACGACGCGACAAGACCAACCAGGATGTCAAAACAATCTTGTCTGCAAAGAAATGAAAAGAAGTACCAAAAAGAACCCATCCCGGATGACAATTCCCACATACAAAAACCCCGTGCTCAAAAGGCCGAACAACGGGAAACAACCAACCAAGATGCCAAGACAAAACAAAAAACCCGGATGACTGGTCCCACATGAAGCACCGCTACCTGCTGCAAAATAGACCGAATAACACGGGACAAAACCAACAGGGATGCAACTGGGATGCAGACAAGGTTACAAAAACAAATTCCACCATATCTATAGTTAAAAAAACGGAAACATACAGTCGGTCCGCAAAACGAAATACCCACTAAAATGGGGAAGAGCAACACAAGAAAATGTGTGTAGTTAATAGTTCATTATAATCCCCCGTTTCCATCTGGAGTTGAACTCTTTCAATTGGCCTTGAGAATCACACAAACCAGCAGCCGAGCAGCCCACAAAAAAAACAAACAAAGAAACACCAGGAATAGTCGTCGATCCCAAAAATATGAGAAAAGGAACAAAAACTGACCTTGTTGCAACCGCTTCGCGCATGACAATGTCGAGCATTTGGATGCACTCTTGTGCCAATTCATACTGCGTTAGGTATAGATTTTCAAGTCGGTCAAGATTGATCTGATTGACCAGCTTCATTCTGACCTTGAAAACCCTCTCCCTGCAGACACACAGAAGACACAAACGAGTCCCGACTGTGAGTATTCACACAAAAAAAAAAAGACGACATGAGAAGCTCTTGGCATCAGATGCTTGAGTTCAGGCAAGCTCAAGGTTACCGAAATTCTTAATCGTCATCATTGACATATGTTCATTTCAAAAACATTCTGCCGAGTACAGCAAGTCAGCCTGGAAATGCCGCCCAGGGAAGTCCTAACTCAAAGCAGCGCATACCAAAACAGCTCCGTTCTGTTCACGAATTCGCTTTTCTTATCTTTTTAACCCAAACACACACGGGTACCTCAACTACTCTGGAGGGTGGCAGTCCAGTTGCTCATTACCAACAAGCATGGTCAACGGTCCAAATGAATCAAGAAAAACTGAGCCAATCAATGAAAAGGACGGAAGCGGTGTCCTCCCACCCCTTGCAACCTCTGAATAGACATGGTCGAAAGCGAGTACAGCAAGTCAGTCTGGAAATGCCGTTCAGGGAGCCCACTTGTGGCCGAGAGACTCCCAATGGTACCCAGATACCATAAGCTTCTTCGCCCCTGGCCAATTTCAACTCCTAAAGAAGCTGTTTATCGCCATACCCCATCTCACCCCCGATGTAACCCGGGTCCAGGTAAATTCGGACTTACATACCGTCAAACAAAGCTGTCCGGTAAACCGTAGGCAGAGAGGGAGAAGAGGACAAGAAACGAGGGGCTGTGACAAACTGTTTCGTCGGAGTTTCACCGACTCTTATACATATGTAGTTCTAGTTAATTATAATCCCTCGTTTTCATCTGGATTCGAACTGGGGTCTGTATTTCAACAGATCATGGCTGTACCGAGTTCAGCCAGTGGGTGCAAATCATGTATTCCAACTAAAATACCGAAGGGAAAACGACTGCACACAAAAAGTGGACAGGAGTACACAACCAAGACGTGTAAACATACCATGTTCTGTGTCGAGGACACCGCAGAAACAAAATAAACGTTCACAAACAATATACAGAGGCATCAGGAGGCTGAACAGCCTAACATATATGTAGTTGTAGTTAACAATTATAATCCCTCGTTCCCATCTGGATTCGAACTCGGGTCTATTTCAACAGATCATGGCTGTACTGAGTTCGGCCACTGGGTGCACATCATGTCATGTAGTCTAACTAATATCCAAACGGAAAACGACTGCACACAAAATGTGGACAGGAGTACGCTACCAAGACGCATAAACATACCGTGTTCTGTGTCGAGGACACCGCAGAAACAAGATAAAAGTTCACAAACAATATAGGGCGAGCAGGGGATGACAGGAGGAACGTGGGCAACAGACAACTATGATTGACTTCATAGAGAACACACAGCAAATTAGAAACAGATGAACGGCCACAAAGTGCCACTCAAGCACATAGCGTCCATGACTCACAGAGGAACACAGATCAGCGAGTACGACATTTACGCATGCCGTCATGTTAATAGTCATTCAAGAGAGTCCCATGTTACACAGTACTTGCGTGAACGCAAGGTTTGTCTAATGTCACCCGAATACACGGCGCCCATACATGACCGATAGACCTAGACAAAAACCTGTCTGCGTAAATTGGCACGTAACGCATTTAGGCGTGCAGAAAGATGTGCATAGGAGATCAGGCTTCGCATGTAACACAGCCCTGTGACACAGTCCTGGCCTTAACGCGACGTTGGTGCATGCCAATCGAGTACACAGCGTCCATGCATGACGGCGACCTGACGTGCATGGACTCTCATCGTGAAGCATTAAGTCACCAAATCTGCTACACGCCAGACCGTGCAGTATCGTGCACGTGTGCATAATAACTCAGGAGCATGTGACACAGTCCTCGCCTCAACGTGACGTTGGTGGATGCCAATCGAGTGCACAGCTGCCATGCACGACGGCAACCTGACGTGCATGGACTCTCATCATCAAGTATTAATCTGTTACACAACAGCCGGTGTAGCATCGTGCACGTGCAGAAAGACGTGCATAATAAGTCAAGATTTGCATGTGACACAGTCCTGACCTCAACGCGACGTTGGTGCTGGCAATCGAGTACACAGCGTCCATGCACGACAGCGGCCTGACGTGCATGGAGTTTCCCAAAATCTGTGACACACCGGACCGTCATCCACCAATCGAGTACACAGCGTCCATGCATGACGGCAACCTGACGTGCATGAACTCTCATCATCAAGTATTAATCTGTTACACAACAGCCGGTGTAGCATCGTGCACGTGCAGAAAGATGTGCATAATAAGTCAGGATTTGCATGTGACACAGTCCTGACCTCAACGCGACGTTGGTGCTGGCAATCGAGTACACAGCGTCCATGCACGACGGCGGCCTGACGTGCATGGAGTTTCCCAAAATCTCTGACACACCGGACCGTCATCCACCAATCGAGTACACAGCGTCCATGCATGACGGCAACCTGACGTGCATGGACTCTCATCAGTATTAATCTGTTACACAACAGCCGGTGTAGCATCGTGCACGTGCAGAAAGATCTGCATAATAAGTCAGGATTTGCATGTGAACCAGTCCTGACCTCAACGCGACGTTGGTGCTGGCAATCGAGTACACAGCGTCCATGCACGACGGCGGCCTGACGTGCATGGAGTTTCCCAAAATCTGTGACACACCGGACCGTCTAGTATCGTGCACGTCACATTTCAAACAACGTACAAGACTGGTTGAGAAGAGAACATTCAGACAACAACCAACACATCAAAAAGTGGTCTCCGTTTCAAGGTTTCATAATGCGTCAAGGTTTCCTAATGCGTCACATCCAATCGTACGAATTAGGAACATGAGAATCAGCAGAAACCTGACAACCAACGGGATGTAAAACAGTTGACACTAACTGAACGAAACCAATAAGACCTCAGCTAAGAAAAACAATGAAAACAAATCCGCTCATCAACAGAACAGCAAATTTTACCTAGGCTGTTCTCGGTGGCTGTCCCGAAGCACCACCGTGGAGTCCTTTGTAGATACGTAATAAGTAATAAAGCTCTCTAATCTGTCCGGAAAGAGTCAACCACCTGTCATTTCAACTGGAAGAAAAACATTAAAAAACTGGCCAAAACGAAACAAGCCTCCACTGGACGAGGAAAAAAAGAAAAACAAAATTCGCTCATCAACAGGACGGCAAATATTACCTCGGCTGTTCTCGGTCAGCGTCCCGAAGCACCACCGTGAAGTCCTTCTCTTGGAAAGGCAGCGGCCCTGCAAAACACAAGATCTTCCGGCCATCGTAGGCCCCTCGCCGTCCTCCGAAGTCAGAAACCCGATGATGTTCCTGCAATTGTGCAATTACGATCCTATTCGTCCCTCTCGAAACGTCCGGAGAAATGACGACCTGCACAGAATGCGCACACAGCAACCACCCCATTCACACACAAACACAAAGACAAACACGCCACGGTAGTAAGGGTAAGGATTCATCATCGTTAACAATCATGAATATTCGGGCACACCAGTTGACTAACAACCATTTCCGCCAAGGCCAAGACCAGACCAGCAACCATTTCAGCTGAGGCCAAGACCAAATACCTGCCCCAAGTACGGTCATTATAGCGGTATTTGGAGTATCTGTCAGTCTAAATAAAGCTATAAAGACCGTACGTTGTATTCGGGGGGAGAAGGTAGGTCAATGAGCTCCTTGATCTCCTCAATCCTTCGTGTGCATTTTAAAAGTGCACGGTTTCTCCAATCTTCAACCTGAACAGAGATCGTGGAAAGCGTAGCAAAACCAAATGCGTGGTCACGACGGTATTACCTTCAATCCTCATTCCATAGGGTAAGAAATCGAAAGTCAAAAGAAAAGAACAGAAACGAAAATAGATGACCACCACTCACGTACTCATTCACTGAGATCGGATCAACAATACAAGGATCAGAACCAAAAAATATAGCACACTAACAAGAAGAGTCGGTCCACGTATCCCCTCTCGCAAAGAGCGAAGAGGAAGACCGAAAAAAACACGAACAATATCTCACATAAATGCCAAACAAGGAGACAGCATCGGAAAAAAAAAACATTTGACAAACATGCGGAATAAGTCGTTAACGGAAAAACATGCGGAATAAGTCGTTAACGGAACAAGAGCTACAGAAACTAGCCACCTAACAATCGAACACGTCAGCTGATACGTCAAGTCAACTCGAACACGTCGTCGACTTAATCGATCGGCCAGTTAGCAATCGAAAAAGTCGTCCATTGATAGATCAAAGAAAAAAATCGCAAATCGTCGATCGATCTGTAGGGGAGTTACAATCACCGACTTATACATAATCCTGCCAGCGATATCTTTACACCGCTTAAAAGCTTCTGAGAATATCAAACGACTTATGACACTAAATGATGACATCACCCATTCCCAGGCCTCATCTTACACGATGGCTGACAAAAAAGGGTGCACACGTCAACCTCAGACCATATGTCCACCTACATGATGACAACATTTCCTGATCTCACCTGTTATAAACCCGTTTGCGCAAAAGCACGACACCGCTTGCCCTCGCGCCTTCGATCTCCTATCCTTATCCCATCAAATCCTTTCCCTCTCTCTCTCTCTCACACACACACACTCTCACACACTCTCCCTCTCTCTCTCTCTCTCACACACACACACTCTCACTCTCCCTCTCTCTCTCTCTCTCACACACACACACACACTGTCTCTCTCTCATACACACTCTCACCCTCACACACTCTCCCTCTCTCACACAGACACACACTCCCTCTCACACACACACTCTCCCTCTCTCTCTCTCACACACACACACTAACACTCTCCCTCTCTCTCTCTCTCTCTCTCTCTCTCTCTCTCTCACACACACACTCTCCCTCTCTCACACTCTCCCTCTCTCTCTCTCTCAGACTCACTCCCCCCTTCTCTCTCTCTCTCTCACACACACACTCTCACTCTCCCTCTCTCACCCACTCATACTCTCCCTCTCTTTCTCTCACACACTCACACTCTCCCTCTCTTTCTCTCACACACACTCTCACACACTCTCTCTCTCTCTCTCCCTCTCTCTCACACTCCCTCTCTCTATCTCTCTATCGCTATCCCTCTCAAACACACACTCCCCCTCTCTCTCACACACACTCGCTCTCCCTCTCTCTCACACACACGCACGCGCGCTTACTAGTCATTTTCAACGCAATAGCATATTACCAGACACAGCATACGATTCCAGTTCATTGCACCACACGCAGGAAAAGTTATTGTCGACACCGCCTCCCGCGCTTTTTAAATACAACACAATGCTCCTTCAATAGATCCCCGAATCGCCCCCGTAAACGGAAAAAGGTTTACGTTGACAGTATGCGCTTTCAGTATCGCTTCTCATGATCAGCTGTGACTCTTCTGAAATTCCAGGAAACATCAAAGGCGCAAGATCAGCTGTGACTCTTCTGAAATTCCGGGAAACATCGAATGCTTCAGGAAATAGCAGAATTGCTGACTCGCCTACTCGATCTCATTTTTCAACATACCATACAAGCACCCAAGCACCTTTTTATTGCCCTTGATATTACGTTTTGACGTTCCCTATCCAGAGCGCTCTTCGATATATCCCAAGACACTTAAAATACTGATGACGAACCTCATTTTAACTAGAGGTCCGATCGACGGCACCAAAAAGCCGCCGCGTTCGATGGACGGAGGAAAACAACAACGCAGCAAGTAACCCGTAAAACAAGAGCCGCCTCGAAACAACGAATGTGGACCAAGAAAAAATTCGTTCATCTCCAGGGATCCACACAATCCGCCATACTCTCGACCTCCCGGATCGCTGGAACGAAAGGAACGCTGGACATTCTATTGCACCAATGTTGSAGTCTCTAGCTRGAGCATGACCATAGGTGCACAGCTTGTAGCTAATTTACCGAGTCAACTGGCTGATTACTTYGATTAATTACATTGTCAGCTCCTTGATTAACAAGTCGATCGACAAATGGCTTCCATAGGCACTGAACAGACGTTCAGGTCGTGCTTCGATCGTATACACTCGTTAACGAGACACGTTTATGCCTATACAAGGTCCGATCGACGGCACCAAAAAGCCGCCGCGTTCGATGGACGGAGGAAAACAACAACAACGCAGCAAGTGACACGTAAAACAAGAGCCGCCTCGAAACAACGAATGTGGACCAAGAAAAAATTCGTTCATCTCCAGGGATCCACACAATCCGCCATACTCTCGACCTCCCGGATCGCTGGAACGAAAGGAACGCTGGACATTCTATTGCACCAATGTTGSAGTCTCTAGCTRGAGCATGACCATAGGTGCACAGCTTGTAGCTAATTTACCGAGTCAACTGGCTGATTACTTCGATTAATTACATTGTCAGCTCCTTGATTAACAAGTCGATCGACAAATGGCTTCCATAGGCACTGAACAGACGTTCAGGTCATGCTTCGATCGTATACACTCATTAACGAGACACATTTATGCCTATACAAGCAATTCTCGGATTACCTGGTCAGCTGAGAATCCAAAATCGGCTCAACTTTTTGGATCACCACCTACACTAACTCGGCAGGCATGTAAAGCCCTACGCCTACATTCATCATCATCCTCAAAACAATTCACATGTTCAAGAAATCTGCACTTATATTTCCTTCATTAACCGAATAACACAATAACCGGGCATGACGACTGTAGGTAGAGCGATTTCGGTGACTATCTCGAACTTAGTTTTTCCGTGACTATCTCGAACTTATTTTTTAAAAGAGGCACGCAAGCCGGCCTCTCCGGTCAGTCTTATGGAGTTATTATACTTCCAAGGTTCTTTTCGAGGCCAGAAAGACCTGTTGAGGTACTTCCAAGGTCTTTTTGGAGGCCAGAAAGATTTAGTTGATGTACTTCCGAGGTTCTTTTCGAGGCCAGAAAGATCTGGCGCCCGCGCGTTGAGTTCATTGTGAGGAGGCATGATGATACAATCTACCACCCAATGTTACTAACGAGCATTCTGCCCCGCACGACAGTACAAAACCGCCCACTGACTTGATCGATCCACAACATAATCAACTACTAAGGATCTCCTTCCGATCGCAGTCAGCTATTAAAAGAGAAAAAGCAAGGACTACTACCTTGTTCCACCAAACCGCAATCCCCGCTCAGTCTAGTTCCAAATGCGTAACAGGCCTTTTCCAGGCCACAAAAATCTATCGTCCGGGCGTCGAATTCTCCGTTAAATACACGACTGAATCAATCACCCACTGTTATTGATGAGCATAGTTCTCCGCGCTACAGCGTAAAATCGCCCAATGACTTGGTCGATCCACAACATCATCAACTAAATCAAGGATTTGCTTCCAATCGCAGTCAGCAGTTAAAAGAGAAAATAGCTAGAATTACTAACTTGTTCCCCCAAACCGCAATCCCTGGTCAGTGTAGCTCTCGAGTAAAGAAAGATCTAACGTCCGGACGTCAGGTTCGTCGTAAAAAAAACGACCCGATTCCCATCACCCACTGTTATCGATGGACCAACCATATCTTCCGTAGTCTGTAAGCCAACAAAATATTGAATCCTCGGAGACTATATACGGTGGCAGATCCACAACACCATCAACCCCATCAAGGATCTCCTTACGATCGCACTCCGCTATCACTGAAAGAGGAACAACGACCACTATCTCGTTCCCCCAAGCCGCCCCGATTCGCCTTGTTCATGTACTTCCGGGTGGGAAGTCTTCTCGAGGCCAGAAAGATTTAGCGTCTGGGCGTTGAGTTCATCATAAAGAAGGCATGATGACCCAGTCCATCACCCCACGGCACTGATAAACATTCTCAACCCTCAGTACAGTATCAAATCGCACAGTGACTTAGTCAATACACAACATCATGAACTGTCAAGGATTTCCTCCCGATCGCATAAACGCCATTCAATCGCACATCCACACTACTCAATCAGCGAATGCCACTCGACATTCAAGGCTCTTCTACGATTATCCAGACCCGATCACTCAACATTCAAGTCTCTTCTACGACGATCAGCGAATGACATGTGCAGACTGAAATCAAACTACGTACTAGACCGACTCCGACAACGGGACCTCTCAACCCGCATCCACGGATCAATCGCTCTGATCAGTACAAGTGGATAAGCAATACATACATAGATATACGTAGGTCACACGGAACTCCAGAAGTGGGGCCCACCAAAACACATCAGATGCGCATTTTTCCACATCAGGAATGCCTTTTCACTCCGATTTCACAGTATGGACTAAGCCACGTGACTGTGATCTCCCCACTTACATAGGAAGAATAAGCCAACTTACGTTTCTCATATACGTAGCTCCAAAGAAACTCGAGCACTTCCATGAATCAGTTGGCTTCGATCTGAGCTTCAGAGCACTCCGATCTCACAGAATTAAATATAAGAAACGTCAACAATGCGACCAACCACTTCTCCCCGCTTACAAAGTATAAGCCAACCTTTTTCCAACTCTGGGCTTCCGAGCACTCCGATCTCACAGAATTAAAAATAAGAAACGTCAACAATGCGACCAACCACTTCTCCCCGCTTACAAAGTATAAGCCAACCTTTTTCCACCTCTGGGCTTCCGAGCACTCCGATCTCACAGAATTAAATATAAGAAACGTCAACAATGCGACCAACCACTTCTCCCCGCTTACAAAGTATAAGCCAACCTTTTTCCAGATCTGGGCTTCCGAGCACTCCGATCTCACAGAATTAAAAATAAGAAACGTCAACAATGCGACCAACCACGACTTCTCCCCGCTCACAAAAAGTATAAGCCAACCTTTTTCCATACACGTAGATCGTAAAAAACTCCAGCACTTCCATGAATCAGTTGGCTTCGATCGCGCACTCATTACATGGTTCCCGCGTCAGGAACGCTTTATAGCACTCCGATCAACCATGACTTCACAAACCACTCACATCAAAAAAGATGTATAGCAATTTTTTTCACATACGAGGTAATAAGAATCTTCGGCACTTCCATGAATCAGCGGGTTCAGATCGCGCGCTGCTCTAAGTACATGTTTCCATGTCAGCAAAGCTTCCAACGCTATTGAATCAGACAAGTTAGTGTGATGCCACCACGACTCGTCCTCCCACTTGCATAACTACTGTCCTGATCAACTAACGCGTCTCCAATCAACAACTTTCCATTCACTACTAAATGTTTCCATCCTTAAACCAATCGACTACTACCGCATTGCACAAGACACACCATTGTGATCCACACACGATTTCAAACCACTTCCATATCTGTCGTCGTCACAAGCTAATGTGTCCCCGACCCAGATTTCCCAACAGCATCAGAGGACTATCCCATCAAAACATGTGTAAGCTAATGTGTCCCCGACCCAGATTTTCCAACAGTATCAAAGGACTATCCCATCAAAACATCCTCTCGTACAACACCGGATCATCCAGCTACGTCTGGCCTCTTATAGAGCTCTCACGCAACTGAGCTTCACGTGCCTCCCAGCACTAATTCCTGTCGCCCTGTGAACGCTTACATCACCATGCTTAACTACTAGATACTCAAGACCACCTGCATTGCACCCGCAGCGCAACAATATACTCTCAAACAGATACAGAACCTTATGCGAAGAGAAGAGCAAAACAATATTCCGCTTCGAAATCAAGAAAAGAAAAGAAAAGCACTCCGCAAAGGAGAAGAGAAGAAGATCAAGTAGCTTCGATAACATAGATAAGGCATGCAAGTACACAAGAGATTGCCACAATAGGAGACTTACATCGTAATGATGTATTTCCCGCTTGGAAACAGTCACTGGAAAGTGGTTCGCTACGAGTACTCGCCGTTCGCCAACCTTGCCGTAATCAGGCCTCAGCACTCTGCTCGCTCCGGCACGGCTCTTCTCCGCCAGTGTAATCGCCCCCAACCTTGCACTGAGCGCCCTCTGAGCCGCCGCTTCGGTAGCCAGAGGTGGGGGAGGAGCTGCAGGTGGAAGAGGTCCGCCATGTCCACCCTCATAGCCCCCACCACTTCTTCCTCTCCCTCCTCTTCCCCTTCCTCCTTCATCGTAACCCCTGCCCCCACCACCATATCCTCGCCCACCATCATACCCTCCCCCACCACCATATCCTCGCCCACCATCATACCCTCCCCCACCCCTTCCTCCCTCATCATATCCACCTCCTCCACGCCCCCTTCCTCCCCTTCCTCTCCCTTCCCCATACGCCGGCTCGCCTCGGCCCCTTCCGCCCCTTCCCCTCCCTTCTCTGCCGCCTCCTCCACCTCTTCCTTCCCCCCTCCCTCCTCCCCCTCTTCCTCCCCGTCCTCCTCTCTCCATCTCTCTCTCTCTCTCTCTCTCTCTCTCTCTCTCTCTCTCTCTCTCTCTCTCTCTCNCTCTCTCTCTCTCTCTCTCTCTCTCTCTCTCTCTCTCTCTCTCTCTCTCTCTCTCTCTCACACACACACACACACAGGCGCGCCGCCTTCGAACAACTGCTCGACAAGCCGATCGCTACACCTATCGACGCTTGCCAACGAGGATGAGCACGATGGGAAATAGCAGTGGAAGATCTTTACAGATAAATGGATAGTGATCCGCCCCGCACCGAAATGCAAGAATGGATAGTGATCCGCCCCGCACCGAAATGCAAGTCTTGGCCTCAATGTCGCACACTGCCAAGCTCGTGGCCTCAACGTCGCACACTGCCAAGACGTAGGACTTCCTTGAGTAGCTGAACCTGGCCGCCTTCCACTATCAGTCTAACCGTGAGGCAGCCAGATAAACTCAAGTTAGAGCAGGTCAGTGTATGCCCTAACGTGGCACAGTCAAATCAAAATGAACTCTCAGCAGCACTCTTCGGTCTCTGTGGACCAGCTGAGAGCTCAAGCACAACACATCAAGGTCAGCTACCACCCATTTACGCACAATCAACGCTTCTTCCTCCATACCGTAGACCTCCGGAAGACCACTTCTGCCACCTACAACACAACTAGCACCCGGGCCACACCGCCCAACCGATCACCGTCTACCCGGGCAGACCAAACCCCGAAAATACACACGGCCCAGCTAATGTGATCGCGGACATATATCGCCACATTTTCCTCACTCGCTCATGAGCGCGCGGGGCGAACCCCACGCCCCGCCCTTTCCCGACCAAAAACTTCCACTCGTCTACTACATGGCGCCCCCCCCTGCCCCGCCCTGCGGTAAGGAAGACCAGAAGACCGTTAGGTACTTAGGTCATACTGACACTACGAATTCCGGCCACATGCATACAGGCGTGGCCAAAATTACGGTCTGATGCACTCTGGAAAGTGCTAGTGTGAGTATGCCCTTACATGCATACACATTTGTTTTTACCGTGGTCCAACCTCCTGGTACCCCGCCAAATCCAACCTACCCCGCCGGATCCGCACTCAACGCAGGCATTTTCCTTGCGGCACGACCCTGGTACCCCGCCAAATCCAACCTACCCCGCCGGATCCGCACTCAAGGTAGGCATTTTCTTTTTCCTTTTTTTTTTTCGGAACGCAGGCATTCTCCCTGCTGCGATTAGTAGTTGTGCTTTGCTTGGTCTTCGGGTTTCCGCAGGTTTTTTGTCAGCTCCGTGCCGCCTCCCCGACCAGCACGGAGTACGGACCTGCACATCGCCCTACGGTAGCGGAGATCGTCTGGTTCACCGCCCTTCATCCGGCGCTACAGAGGGTGACCCGACTTTTGCTGACCGCCGAAGCACCGTCGGTTATCACTTGTAACCGTGTGTCCTGTTGTGCTCCGTCACGTCGCGTCAAGTGTCATGATATCACCGGGCATACAGATGTCATCCAATCACGTGATCTTCGAAAAGAGATCGGGCATACTCACAGTAGCACCTTTTTCAATGTCTCTGACCCTAATGACAGCGAAATCTGAGTGCACTGACGGCAACCACCTCCAGAGCTGAGTCGAAAAGGTCCTAGCTCAGCTGGTAAGGCACAGAAGTTGCATTCAGGAGGTCGTGGGTTCAATCCCCTCACGTACGTGTCTGGGCAAGCTTGGGGTTCTACCAGCTAGAGAAGGTCGTGGGTTCAATCCCCTCACGTACGTGCCTGGGCAAGCTTGGTGTTCTACCAGCTAGAGATAACCCGTTGGCCCCCCAAGCCAGCATCGGCAGGACCTTGGTTGATGTTGTTGGTTGCTCTGCAGTGACAATATTGGCCATTAGACACCGCCATGTGGGGTTTGGGGGGGGTAGGGGGAGGTGCAGTGACTGGCCATTGCTCGACGCTAGCACCGCCGATTTCCCCCATCGGCAATGCCTGCCCACCCCTCGTCACCGTGATGAGGGACTGGTACAGCCTTGCAATCGCACCACTGCTGTGGTGCCAACCTACCCCGTGGGCTGGGGAGAGATCCGGGTTGGTTCGTGTTCCCCCATACTACACATACACTAGTGAGAGGATGAGATAGATGAGTACTAGCAAGAAAAATGAGATAGATGAGAGAAGAATATAGTTTAAAAAAAAAAAAAAAAAAAGGTCCTACTGTGAGTGACCCATAGGGCCTCGCTCCACTACTCTCGAATGTGCAAAACGAGAGTGAATCTTCCGCTAGAATATGGAAAGATACATCGGCATGATTTTTGTCATTTGTGCATATCGAGAGTAGTGGAGCTGTGACGCCCAACCTCACGCCCAGCGCGACTTCCTGATCGGAGTGGGATGGGGGCCCGGAAGTGCGAAACAGGGGGTGTGCCAAGGATTTTAGGAAAGTGGGGGTGGAGTCCCAGGACAGAACTGAGATCTCCTATGGCAAGTTTCGGAGGTAAAAGTGCAAGAGGGCAAGTACAGGCCGTGCCCGGCGTGTCGGGTTGTACGAGCGAACAGACCGCCTCTTAGACTCAGTGTAAAGAAAGGGAAGTTGCAGTTGTCGTGCAGCATAAGGCAGATAGCATGCGCAGGGTAACCCAGAGATGCGTGTCCCGACACATTCACGTTGTTAACAACTCTAAAGACTTTTGCATTCTCGAACAAAGTCCCCTACGGCATAGTCCCTGTTGTCGATCTCGATCATGTTTTGTTATGTCTTACGCCCGAGAGAGGGGAACTACCATCTCCTCTGGTTTTGCCTTTGCGGTCGGTCACGGACCTGATAGACAGGGTGCACACTATGGGTATCACGCTGTCTGATCAACTGTTGTCGTCGATCGCTACAAACTTCGGAATCAGACGATGAGGGTCTCAGCTGGAGGTTGCGTGCCCGCCGTTCGGACTCTGTTTGGGTTCGGCGAACGAACCCTGAGGCTCGATACTTGTTGTCTCGCTGGCACTCGGAGCAGGGGGTTAGAGGCCAATAGGGAGCGATAGCGTGCCACAGAATGACGGTGAGGTAATGGAAGGGCAGCACCACTCGGTATGGTGGGCAGTGAGTTATTAGGACGACGACCCCAGGTTCAGAGAAGACGTGTCTCGTGCGGGACCCGTCGAATTGGGTTGTGTAAGGAACAACTTCCACTGCCCTTCCCGTATCCCAGTCGCACACGCGTTCATCTCCTCGTTGGTAAGGGAATCTCAGAGGGTCGGGGCGGGGCTGAGCGAGGAAGTAGGCGTTCTTTCGTTCCTAATATTTCCGATATTTGGGGTCCCGCAAACTTTCTCGGTTCGTAATGCGAATCATTCTGTTAATCCGGCAAAAACGCCGTCATGGTCCGTGCGCAGGTCTTGCAGACACGCGTGTAGGCACCGTCCCGTTTTCGGTCGGGCTTACACGTGTGTGCACAAGATCTGTTCACGGCCATGTGAGGGGTTGGTTCCAGGTGAGCAGGAGTGGGCGCAAGCGATGGTCGATCATAAGATGCGATATGGGTTAGCTTAATTCAAATTTCGTCACTTTCTAGTATCCATCATCACTGCCCTCCCTCTTCCTAGGGCGCAGGTCCCTCCCGAATAGTCAAGCGCGACCAACCAATCACGGATCCGTACAATCGCAACCCCTGTGTCCACCTATCTGTTCTACCATTATTCATTCATCAAAACAACGAAATTCCCCTTGGACTCATTCATGTTTAGCGACGGTGAGACTTAGATCGAAAGGAAAAACGACATGCATTCCGACAGAAACCACCGATTTTGCAAGAAGTTGAGAAAGTGCAATCACATCGCAGGTAGAGAGTGAGAAAATTCGGAGAAAGTACAAGCATTCTTTGGACTGTCAACAAACGATGACGCACATCAAAATACAAAAAATAATTCAAAAAAAAATCTGAAGTCGCCGCAGCAAAATTTGCCAAGGCAGAAATCTAAGATTTATACAGGAAGGTTGGATGAAGAAGAAACAAAAGGAAAAGACACCATCCCGATCCGTCCCCTCTCCCTCTCTCTCTCTCTTTCCGTTGCGGGCAGACCGTCACCTCGCATCAACACCACGACACCGGCAGTTCGTCGCTGCGTATCGACACCGAGTTGTTACCCCGCTTGGTCCAAGCATGCAAGCAAGGTTTGCCCGTGCACCATAGTCCGTCGCGGCCCCGCACATCAACCCCGCATACCCAACACCAGCTCGTCGGATCGCCCAACTCTCACACTCACTCATCTTCCAAGCTTGCTCGTTATCCGCCCCTCATTGATCGCGCTAACCTCGAAATTCTTAGAGAGACAACTAATCGCGCTTGCGAAATTTATAGCATGCATGTTTGCGCGAGGGATACAGGATTAGCACCAAGGGATGAGAAAGAGAAAAGAGGGAGTGCGTATGTCTGGATGTCTTGGCCGTGGCGCGGGGGATGAAGCCACTCTCCTCGCATCGATCCGAGCATGCAACAGTGGCAACCACTTAGAACAGAGGGAAAACGTGCATGCGAAGACGAGGCGGAAAAGAAGAAAATACGAAAGTCGTCAAGAACAAGAAGATTACAGTTGCGATTGTGCCCGCCAAAAACTACAGTTACACACAGGATTGAGACGCGAACGGAATCAAAGCCCAAATTCTGTCGGGGCACTGTGCGTGTGAGCAAGAAGCGTTATGCCGCCAAACTAGAAGGTGCCTAAATTCCCAGTCTAAATCCTAAATGCAAGAAAAAATTTCGAAAATAACAATTCCAAGAGTCTGCGGGGGCTCGACATTAGTTCGAATTTTAAAAACGAAAATTCCCGCGCGCTGATCGCGCCAAAACTCCTAGTGCGCAGAGAAGAACAAGAAAGAAGCTATGACAACCGTTATTTCTCGTGCTCGCTAGGGCGCGGTCACTTAATCGTCGACGCGGGACTTTTCCGGCACCGGCCCGACAACTCGAACAAAAACGAAAAAGAAGCGAGGGCATCCAGGCAACTTGCCCCACCGATCCCGCTTGCGCTGGTCACCCATCAAAGCCCTCTCGTTTCCCCACAGCAGCCTCGCGCAGGAAGTCGCGCGGTCACAGAAGATAGTTCATCATAGAGCGAGGCCCATAGTACAGTTAGAGCCTCATTCCACGCCACTTGAGTTCAAGTGTGACGCGAAAGCTTGTCGTTTCACCCCGCCCTTGAAAAATGTTTTTTTTGTTTTCAACCACCAGTACCTCCGAGCCTGTTTTTGCCGACCATGAATTTCCCTGCGCTCCGAGTTTTGTCGAGCCTGGGTACCACTCTGTTTTCTTTCTGGTACTCTCACGAAAAGAACAAAAAAAAACAAAAAAGAAGAAGAAAAGATGCGGCCGTGAACCTCATTAAAAAAAAAAAAAAAAAAAAAAAAAAGTTTTGGTCGTGATTGCAGCTGTATACATTATTGGAAGTGGTAGTGTGAGTGTGCCCTCAATGAGGGCATCTCAGCTCCGTGGCCAGGTTGTTAGATTCCAAAAAGAGAATAAAAGGGGAAAAAAATAGGCACATGGATCCGACCGTGAAAATGGTTGGATACATTCCCCTAAGTGCCAGTGTGATGAGCCTTACAATCCTCTGACAAAACACAGCTTGAGTAGATCACAGACAACTTGAGCAATTCACGGACAGGGGACTCATAAGAAACACACGACCAACAAAAAAAAAA